TTTTTTTTTTAAATACACCTGAATTACTATAATTATTTACTGTTCTTAAAACCTTTCTCAATTTTAATAAATTTCTGGGCTAATTCTTTCTTGACTTCTTTTTTTTTTTAAGTATTGGTTTTCTTATCTCCTTTTTATTTTTTCTTATAAGATTTCCTCAACAATTCTTTGCCAAACACTAACTGACGAACACAAAAATTAATCTAAACACACCACTCAAACTTTAGAACAATTAATTCTGAAATGCCGCTGTAAAGTAGCTCACAATGAACAGCTGTATTTCAAAAATGTGGTTGGTTATGAATAACTAATTTCACAAAAGGTCAGTAAAAAGTAATTTATCAGTCAACCTTTTGTACATGTAAGAAATATTTTATCATATTTAATTAAATACGGTTTCTGTAATTTAGTTTGAATAAATTTGCGGCTGTAAGCTGAAAGTATCTAATTTTATTGTGAAACTTCAAAAATGCTTCAGTATATCAAGTAGAACATGTGACAATACACTCAAATAATCCTAAACCGCAGTAGTAAAAGTTACGTAGTTCTCGCATTACGGTCGGATTATACCAAAAGAAAACCAGCTGAAGTCTTCAATCTGACAATTCCGCTTTTAACAACAAAATAATTCTTTCAGACTTACTTGACCGTTTGAGAAAACACTGCCCATTGTGCGAGTTAACGGATATGGATGAGAGTTACCAGGGCATTGACCATTAAAGTCGTCGAAGTCAAGGGTCCATACGAAGCCGCCTCCGAATCCTTCGTTCCTGGCCCACTCAGCCTGAATGACCGCTTCAAAATTAGAACCTTCTGCTCTTTTGCTGCGCTTTTTCTCCACCTCTAATTCTCAACCCAAAAATGCCTATCTTCCCCGTGTAATTTTACACAGTCTTGAGCGTCTTTTTTTGCTCCATTTGGCGTCTTCTTTCGTTTGCTCACCTTAATACGGACTGATTCAACGTCGTCGTAACTCATCCACTCGTCCCCGTTTATAAAATACGGCACTTCCTGTTCTTCATTAAACAGATCTTGCACACCTGGTTTTGCGAGAACTTCGCAGATCTAGATTTATCGACTATGCATTTAAACAAATGGTAGTGTTTTGAGTATAAAACTGTATAGAAAGAGTTCCAAGATTATGTTTTATAGCTTGCAAAATAAGCGTTCATATTTTGTTAAACTCTATAGTTTTACCTCTAGATAAGCGGCGATGCCAGCCGTTTGGGTGCAGGGATACGCTGGCGATGGACCATTTGCAGGAGCTCCAACATAATTTTCCTGCCGATTCCGAAGCATCCAGCCTCTACCGTAATTTGGAAATCCCATTATAAGTTGGTTCTTCGGAGCACCGAGACTAGCGTAGTAATTCATCGTCCAGGCCTGTAAATACTCGACACGCAGTTGAGTAAAGATTGCCGCTGTAACAGAATACGTGAAGTCGGAAAAGATAAGCTAAAAAAGCTATCATTTTATTATATAGAAGACAAATACCGTTGAACGAACTTACATCACAAAATGTTTTATCAGTCTGATTTTCACGCGCAAATAATGGAGAGTTGTTACCGGTGTATGAATTCCACGATCCATGGTAATCATAAGTCATTACAAGAAAATAATCCATGTAACTGTGACAATAATATAAAATAATCACCGTAATGAATTGTAAATTAATGTAAACAATATGAAACTTTGCTTAAAAAGACGAAAACTAGAAGATGCAGTTAAAATATTGCGTTTTAGCTTTGCAATAAAAGAAGAATTTGAAAATGTGAATAAAGTTTTTAAAATGAAATCAGTAGTAACTCAAATGTTAACTGATCAAGAATGATAGATTTTACGGTGCTAAAGCAGCGACGTCGTATCCCGTATCAATCGTAGCTTTTCCGGCTGGAACAGCTGCAGTTACCAATAATCGCGGTTGCTTAGTACTTTCACTTTCGGCTTCTACTGCATCACGTAGCTCCTGTAAATAAATAAGTAAATAAATAAATAAATATATATATATATTTATTTATTTATTTATCTGTGGTATGACGTAGATTTTCTCTTCACAAACTTACAGTAACACCGCCCTTAAAAAAGAGCATACAGTAAAGTAAGAAACCTTGATAAATAAAACATAAAGTTGCTTCTCGTTTGCACTTGGGTATTCCCAATCAATGTCAATACCATCAAATTTGTATCGCCTTGCAAATTCAATTGCTGATGAAATAAATTTTTGCCTATTTGTTTCTGTACTAGCCATCAACTGAAATAGGTCTGTGTAGTCTGCCGTTACAGAAAGATAAAAGTCAAAAAAAATACAAATAA